AACATTTAGGGAAGGGCTAGACCTGCTTAGGTCTTTCCCAGCCACCAGAACTAAAGTCTGCCCAACTAGAAAGGTCGGGCTTTAGAGTTTTGGAAGATCAGGCCTGACTTGATACCTCTCCTGTGCTTGCATTAAGTTGTCATTTGGTCATCAGACTTACCAGGACTGCAAAACTTATCACTCTGATGGAAATAACCCCCCACTGACACAAACTGCAGTGGAGTATATTGCCTTAATGCTATCTTCATTTTCTCAGGAAATCTGTTTTTCTGTTTTCTGTATAGTATCAGTGTGGTCCCTGCTGCAGCTTCCTCTTTCCACTGTAGCTTTTCTATTGCAATAAAATTACAACCAAGTGTAAGTCTGCAGGTTATTCTTATGACGATGGCAAATTAGATTTTGTGACTGCTACAAAGATGTTACAAATGACAGATTAAAAGTGCTCCCTATTATGGAAAATCAGTTATTTTAGTTTATCTTTTTACTTCAAAAATATAGTATCTTTAATGGAGAAGATATGTAAGCATGATGAGAATTCGCAAAACATTATAGAAAGTGTTGATTTAGGGAGCATTGGCAAAATATAATATACTCCTCCAAACTCTTTTGCATTGCCTGGCCTTCAGTCTTACCTCTTACGATTAGAAATCGGTGTCCCACACGGTTTAAAGAAGAAAATATAGAGAGTAGCTAGAAACAAGCCAAAGAACTTTTAAATCTGCCATATATTAAAATTATGTTTGTTGTCTTGTGGTAAGAGATCCTGCTTGGCACATAAACTTCTTGGCAGAAGCAACTTATTTCAGAGAAGCCATTGCATAGGAGTTGATGATTCAGCACAGCATGAACCCCTAAGGAGAAAGCTGCGTAGCTTACCAAAACGAGGGTTATTCAGGATAACCATGGGCACAGGAGCTTGCAGAATCCCCGAAATAACTTGGCCTAGATTAGCTGGTAAAGAATTTTGTTCAAAGCTTGGTTTAGATATGCAGACATGAATAGCCATGAAATTTTCCCTGTCTGATTGAAAAAGGTTACCTTTTTATATGCAGAGCAAGCTGCTAGTAGTCGGACTTCCATAACCTCTCTTCTACTTCCCTTCCCCCAACCAGGAAAAGCAAGCGTCATTACATGATGTGTGAAGCTGTTCGTACTGCCACATGTTGTCATTTAGTGCAAAGGCCGCTTTGCCTTCTGCACCTGGAGATTGTCATGAAGAGCAGTAATCAATGATGTTGACACCTACTCAAAGTACAGACTGTTTAAAACACTTCCTGATGAAGGAACGTGTCACCAGAGAAGAACAGGCAGGCAGTTCTGCAATGACCCCAGAAAGAAGGTCTCGCAACACACTTTCGAAGGTTTTTAAAAGTTCTTACTGCTCAGCGCTCTTTCTCCTTGCATGCACTCTTCATTAAGATTAAATAAACAATGCTTATTCTTCATCAGTATCTCTTAAGAGAAGGGGGGAAAAAAGTGCCATTTATGAGATAATGGTTTAAACAGTGCTCAAATAAGGCAGGTGTATTTCCAGGGGAGCTATGTTCACTGAACTGTTTCAGTCGTCAGGCTTTGCGTGCTGCTTTGGGAGGGACGGTGGCAGCACAGCATGTCAAATAATAGACAGAAAGTGCATGCACAGAGTCTGTGGCCCTGAGAATACGCCTGAGACTGCCAATCCAAGGATTTGGGTCTGTGTCTTGCACAGGTAGTCTAAGCACCTGGTTTTGAAAATTTGCCCCAGTGTTTCCAAAGTTTGGTAGCAAGGACAAAAATTTGCATCCTGCTGGAAGCTGTAGTTCACTCGGTCCATTCTTCTGCCTTCTTTCCTTTGCTCTCCCTATTTCATTGAACTGCCTAAACATGAGTAGGTAAGTACTCTCCTGTCCCTGAAAAGAGAATAGCAGTCTCAAAGGAAACTTTGTTCCAAATAAAATATTCAAAATCAGTTTCTGGATCTATCGGACTGCAACAGCTTCATGTCAAAAAATCAACCTGACACTATTGCAAGTTCATTTTCAGCCAACTTTCAGCTGCAATTTTTTTTCAGACTTGGTAGGAAAGAAATTGGTTTTCCTATTGAGAATCCCCCTGGTGTTTTAGAAATACAGTTGTTCTTATGTGCGGTCTAACCCAATTTTTTAAAAGGGCTAAAGGAAAAAGAAGAAAGAGTGAATGTATTTTCTATACATTTTTCTTCCACAGTGCTGTATGAAGTGCCCTGATCTTCACCTCATATCTGCATTTCAGCATTCTTACTTGAAGCTTTGTTCAGGATTCAACTTTCTGAAAGCTGGGTTACACCAAGAAGAGCACAGTAAAGCAGTAACCTCTGAAATTCAATGTAGTTTGAATTTTCCTTCCATGTTTTCAAATTAAGCTCTGAGATAATGATTCTTGCTTGTTTAGTAAGTCTGGGTCAGCTGTATTCTTCCATTCAGTGAAAGGCTGGGAAGCCAGATTCATCAAAATTCTTTTAGATGCGCGGTGTGGGTGATCTGTTTCTGGTCCTCAATGTTTACCCACCAGCTAAGCAGAGAATTAAGAAGTAGTATTTGAGGTGGGGGAAATGATCTAATGTTGACACGGATATTATAGAATGCAGCTAATTTAACCCCTAGCTGAATGCCCACTGTTTTAAAAGTCAATAATGCCAGGTGTAATGAAGTGTTTAGACTCCTTGTGGGATAGAGGTCTTTTTCTATGAATTTCCTGCAATACTTGAGGGAGGAGCCCCACTGGAAGCTAGTGAGAAATATGCTGCTGCAGTCCCAGCAGAAATTAGCAGCTACCGGTCTAGCCACTGCAGCAGGGGTGGCCTGGACTACTGTATTTTAATTAGCATTTCACCAGAAAAACTAGCCCACATCTAAAGGATTACAGTTCTACAAATTGTTATCTGTGGAAGTGACAGGTTCAAGAATATTGGCAAGGACTAGTTTGATTACCGTTTATTTAAAAACAGAATATGTCTTTTCTTGACAATGTGCTTACATAAGGCTCCTTTTGTTTGTCTGCTGAATGCAGTGAAGGCTGAATATTGAAAATACCTTGTTGGTCTGTTGCATTGCCTTTGCAGGCCAGTCTGAACAGGAATCAATTGCTAAAAAGTCCTTTCACCTCAAATATTAGAAAATCAACACAGCAGCTAAAAGTCATAGAATCAAAATCTGAAAAGTTATGGATGTTTTTCTTGGCAAAATTAAACCAGATGGAACTCTGGAATGCAATGGAATTAGCTTTCCTTTCCAGAACTGTGTATGTTTTTTTCCACCAGCCTTGCCTTCTTCAGAGATTAGTTTTATTCCTTATAGAATGACGGAGTTCAAGGTTTTTTTTCCCCCTACATTATGTTCATTTTGTGAAATTTTCCATTGTCTTTACAAGTTGTGAAATAATGAGGCGGGAGGGAGGACTGCAGTTGCTCACGATTGCCTGCAAGTCCTGTATATGTAGACATTGATGTTTACAAGAAGCTTTTAGATCAGATTTGAATAATTTAAGAATTGCTTGTAAGTTCACTGTAGAAAGAAAGTTTCTTTTTATACACTTTCACATGAAATGCAAGTTGTGAGAATTTCCAAATATACATGTATGTGATTTTTTAAAATGAAGGCAATAGTAGTAATGCCATGGAATATGCATTTTTTTAAATGTAGTTTTCATTTATATGTATGTCAATAGCTTTGTCAATGATTTTTTTTGTTCTGTCCAGTCTTTAACTTCAAACAGGGCATTTAATTTTGAAGTCTAGGAACAGTAATTTCATTCCTATAAATCCATTTTGACCTTCTAGTGTATGTATAGGAAAGAGCAAATTAATGTATTTTAACTTTATACTTTTGTAAGCTGTACAAAAAAATCAGTATTCTTTAAGGAAACCAATACTGGACTTTGATCTGTTACTGCAGTTTTGGCAGCACAGATTTCCATGGCTCTGTAATAGGTACAGTTTTCTTGGGACCATTCATTCTTTCTCCTGATTTGTTTGGACAAACTAGCTTGTGTAATCTTTCTTTGACTGCATGAAGCACCATTTATTTTTCAAAAATCAATTCAGAACTTAAGGAATTTAATGCAAATGAAATTTACAGGAGGTTACCTTGAGGACTGTATTTGTACTGAGTTGATTCAAAATGCAGTATAAAACCTGGGATGAGTGGGCATGGTATGGAGATGCCGACCTACTTTTGAAAGTTTTCCTACTTCCAGTGAAAATACTGTCAGTGACTGTTTATTTTATTATAAAAACTGCAGCTCTAGGAATTCACCTTTCCTACTTACCTGTGACCAAATAAATGTCTGGCTGTGTTTCATTTTGGTTCCCATTCCTGTTTCAGAGGCGGAAGCTTTTTGTGGATGTGGGGGAGGAAAGACTTTTTCCAGCCTGGCTCAAATTCTGTGTCTTTTCTTGCCTTGGCTTTTCTCTCTTTGCCAGTCTCCACCACAGGTCCAGCTTGATCCTGCAAATTCCATTTTCTCCTTTATGTGCAAATTCTGCTGATCACTTCCGCCTCCTTAACACCCCTCCTGGGCGTCCCTGCCTTCCTTCCATCTGTGCTGACATCACTGTTTTTGACTGCATGTACTTGAAGTGTGACCATGCCTTTTCTCTCGGCTTTGCAGTCTGGACTCCTTAGCACAGGCAGAGTGCTATCATGCTGTCACCCAATCTCTAAAACAGTGGTAACACCCAAGGATAATAATAAGAAAAATAATCCAGAATACCCAACAAAGTGTATATTAGGGGGCAAAAAATTTTACATGTACATTTTTAATATTTTCAAAACATTTTTCAAATTTGTGTGGAAAACAGCACACATGCAGAGATCAGTCATTGAATTTTAGTCTGATTTTACATATTAAGTGGTACTTTTAATACTTCAAATTTTTCATGCAGTCATTGGACTAATGGGTGAGTGAGTTTATCGTGTTGCTGAAGTATTTGTACTGCAGGAAAACTAGTTCTGTGTTAATACTGAATTGTGTGTGTAGCAGCCATGATACATTCCATGCACAGGACATCACGAGGTTTCTCACGAGTTGTCATTGCCCTCATTGTAGGCGGCATCACATGGAAGTGAGTGTTTTTATTGTCCATTATGACCAAATAGTTAAGATGTATACATTATTTTTAGGTTTTTTGTGAGTTCAAAACTGGATATAGAAACATATTTGTGTAGTAAGGCGTATAGCATACATAGCAAAGTGGTTTGGGGTTTTTATTTGTCCTTTAACATGTTCATAGTTATACATTGGCTTTTAAAAGTAAATCTTTAACAGAATTGTTAAGCAGCTTTCCAGACAGAAACATGTCAGTAAAAGAAAATGACAATGTTTTCAACAATGTAGGAATTCTAATTTTTACTATTCTCTAACTTGGCCAACTATATATTCCAAGAATGCCTTTTTTCGTATTGTTCCAGCCAACTACAAATAATGTATGTTTTCAGTTCAGGCAGCCTGTTCTAGGCAGAGAGGCAGAAAAGCAACAGCTCGATGCTCCTTTAAGCCTAGTTTTCTTTAAAAGCAAGTGCACACTTACATACACAAATATGTATAATAAAATATTTCATATAAATATAAGTGTATTTATATATGCAAAGATAGATATATATGTGTGTATATATGTATTTACCAACTACAAATAGAGAAGAGCTGGCAGGATCAATTCTAAATATGCCAACATAATATAGCGAGTAATCTTGTGGTTGGACTCATTTGGAGTATGGGAGACTTAATTTCTGGTTTCTACTCTGAATTGGGAATGGGTTGCTTGTCAGTCACACACTGCAATGTACTTCTGTAAGTGATTATTAGCTTCTTGGGCGTAGGGTCCTTTCACTTTCTTCTGTTGAAATTGTTCATGCTGTAGGATTAAATATTCCGTAGTGTTGGTATCTGCTGTTTATCAAATAAGTGCCTTAACCATTGAGTATAGGTGATCTCTTTCTATAGCACCATTAATACTTATCATTCAGATGAAGTGGAGCACCACCTGCAGAGAATGTGACATTGAGAGGCTCGCAGTCTGTCTATCTGGCCATAAATTTCGTGCCTGTAGAAAGTGGCATGTTGCCACAAGAATTTTTGGTTTCTACATATTTATGTTTTCTGACCAAATGCATCAATGAAATGTTTAATTGATACAAATTCCAGACCAGGTTCTGAGACCCCAGTTGATGGCAGTCAAGACTTGATGTTGAAAAACTTAAGATAAGGGCAAGAGGTTACAATTAGCAGCTCTCTGAGCTTTTCAGTTGCACATGAGATTTTTGCAGCTAAAGTTTCACTCTGCTCTTTGGTGATGAATGCTTGAATCGCTCCAATTATATTGGTGACCTTCCAAGTCATACAGGCTCAGGAAAGCTGTATGTGCTGATTCAGCAGAAGGCTTGCTGAGCTTCAGCAGGAAAACAGGAAACCAAAATAAGCAAAGCAAAATGACCTTATTTGCACAAGCAAGTTCTGTTTGCACATTTACATTAAGACCCACAGGCTGCTCCCCCCCATTTGTTTTTTTTTGTTTGTTGTTTTTTGTTGGTTTTGGGGTTTTTTTAATGGGAAAAAGCAAAGAGATGCTGTTATTGCCAGAGAGCCAGGTCTGTATTAGTAATTGTTGTCTGCTAAGCTTTCCACGAGGCATGGTTTAAGCAGGTTGCCATCCTGTTCCTGAGTCCCAGTGCTGGTTTCTGACATGGAAGAGGAAGGCAGTGTCAGCTGTTAGCTCAGTGATGTCTTTCCTAGATGGTGGGAACATGTCTGTCAGGGCTGGGCATAGGCACATAAACCACAAGAGAACTCTCTGAAAGCATTCCCAAGTCTTGTGATATCTTGTCATCATTTTTTCCTCCAATTAGGACTCCAGGGACATGCTGTCAGAAATTTTTACAATAGAGAATAATTTCTAAACTAGCCCCTCTGTGTGTTTCGAATGATGACTAACAAACCTGACAGCAAACTGCTCATCTGGACATGCCTTCATAAATTCCTGTCTCTCCAGGCTGTCATATGCCTCTTTTGGGGGTAATGCTGCCTCTCTTCCAGCTTTGGGTGCAGTCAAATGAACTGTTAAAGTAGTACCATACTACCCCTGCTGGTGTAGCTGTCCATCTCATCACTAAGCCAGATCCATTAAATCATCAGAGGTGTTCTGGTGGCTAGGTTTTTATTCATGTGGAAGACTTTGCAGAGTCAGGTTAAAAACAGGCAAAGTAAGCACTGACAGTAGCATTATGGAGAGACAGTGACAGCCGTCCATCACCGCAGCAGCAGCGAACACCTGGAGATGTGCACAGGAATGGTAATCTATTTATTTGGATGATCAGCTGCACAGCTTATCTAATTGTGCCCTCAACCAAATGAAATCATTGCTAGAAGGTTTGCTGCCTGTTTACTAAGAACATATGTAGACTAATGAATTTAATGTGTATATTGCACTCTGAATATGTGAAGCAGGGTACAAGAATGATTTGCTGTTTCTGCAGTGACTTCCCCATTACAGTGTTGTAGTAAAATACTGGAGATATAAACCTCATCACAGCAAGTCCTTAGAATTTTAGCTTTTAACATTTTTGGTTGTACTTAAAAGATGTGAGGGGTTTTTAATGTGGTGTATTTTTTTTCTTCTTGCTAAATAGAGCCTTTTGAGACTTGGCCAAGGAGAGGAGATCTAATTAAATTCATGCAATGATTCTGGGAGTCACTGAGGCTTGCAGTACTCCCACACATTTATCAATACACTGTTATGAGAGACAAATCATTTTAGCATTTGAGATGAAGTGAAGATTACTTTATGTGTGTTTGATGCACACAAGCCCTCAGATGATTGAGCTGCATAACCCTTGCTGTAGGTGACCTTTCCTGATGAAGAGGTCTTTCTGAAATAAATCTTCTCAATCAAATGCCAGTTCTTGTGCTCACTCATGTACTCATAAAAATATGGACATGCTTATTCATAGCATTATCTGGCACCTGTGCCTGTGCTGAGGAGGGAGAAGTGCAGAGCATGCATGGCTGTTTTGTACACTGGTGCTCCCAGAATAATAAAACCTGTGTCACAGCTTTATTCATATAGTCAAACATGGCTATGCCATTCCACTGTTCAAAAGAAAATTCCTTGTGTCATTCTCCAGCTTGTGATCATCTCCTGTCAACATACTGAGATGGGTTTCTTCTGGTTCAGAGAGATCTGCAGTGCAATTTGATGTGTGGTATATATGAAATCCTTTCACTGCAGAGTGGCTGTGTGCAGTTCTGCAATGTATATTATTCAGGAAGTTGTGAATGATAATGGCAGTCCCCTCTAGCTTAAAAATCTGCAGCTATTTGGACGTGCTGAGTCTTAGAGTGGGTGACAAGTCTCCTGAGGACAGGAAGCTTCCAAAAATGCCTTAAATCCAGCGCTGACATGTAGCACTTCAGTGCATCCATTTTGATGGTGGCTGACACTGGATTGCTCAGCGGCATTTAAAAGTTAATGTGGTAGAACATAAAGGTGTCTGAATTGTTTGTAACCATTAGGGTTTTGCCAGAGGTTTTTCTTCTCTTTAGCTAATTCATAGAGTACAGGTCCCTTCCTTGACGGTAACAAGTAGAGCACAGCAAGTAACCTCAACAGCTGAGCCTGCCTCTGGAGACTGTCTAGCCCAGCCTCCCCCTCAGAGAAGTGCCTTCCAACCAACAGAGCCATAATTTTATGCTATTAGCACATTCAAGTGAGTGTGCCTTGAAGGCAACCACAAGATGTAAGCCCAGTTCAGTTTGGCTATGAACAAGCCCCACCAGTTTCCACTGAATTAACCAAAAGTGCTGGTTGCTCCATCTGGTGCCAAATTTGGCATCTGGGCAGGGAGCAGCACAATAATTGTCTCTTCTCTTCTTTTCTGTCTCGCTCCTCATTACCGCCATCAACAGTTAGTAAAAAAACCCAGTGCAATTAATTGTTCCAAATGGGTTGCCTTAACAAAGACAAGTTATATTGTCACAGGTTTGGGGCCAGATTACATTCCTTGCTACCCTGAGGAAAACTCCAGGATGTGTCAGGAGCCAGAAAAGGTCTGACCAAGAGGCATCTTGAGCTCTTGCGAGTTCTGTTGGCTGAATAACTGCTGAAGTTCACTGGTTCAACAGAGAGCCGTTTTTACACTGGTTTTTTTGGTTGCATCTGTGAGGAAAAATGAGATATTTTTGCCCAAACTGGGAGGAGTAGAAAATGTAGTTTCAGCTAGGCAACTCTGTTTATTGACATATTCGAAGAGGCGTATGTACAACTATTCTTCCTTTTTTTTTTTTTTTTTAATTTAGTGGGGCTACATCCATTGTCTACAGATGCAGGCAGAAAGGGACCCAGAAACCTTACGCCGTCAAAATGTTGAAGAAGACAGTAAGTTGTTTTGTTTTGTTTTGCTTTGCTTTGGGATATGTTTGGGGTTTTCTCTGTTTTTTTTCGGTGCAGTTTCTTTGTGCGGGGGAAACGGGCTAGATTAAGGACCCAACTAAGCTTGTATTTTCTGTGCCTGAGCTTCTTCTGCTCTTCATCATTAAAATAGCTTTTAGAGGTAATAGTACTCTGTTGGGAATGTCTTATCCCCACAAATCTTGCTTGTACCTTCACCTGGTGTTGTCTGTGTACACTTAGATTTGGGCAAAACTTTTTAGACAAAAATATCTTTCTCTTTCATTATGGAAAAGAAGCAGGTTCTGAATCATTTAAATGTTCTGTGATTTCATTTTGCTTTAATACATTGTTTTGCTCAAAAAATATCATTACATAATTTATCTTTTTCAGAAAGTGATTAAAATACCAATTCAAACTCAAGTAAAATGAAATATTTCGTGGAGGTTTTTTCCCCCTACAAAATTGCAAGAGAACCAGTTGAGACATCACTTATTTTTAGAGCTCCATGTATGTCACACTTCTACCACCCGCTATTTTTGTGTGTGTTACAAAATAGATGGTGGAAAGCATGAAGATAGACTAGAGAGGAAAGGCTAGTAATGGAGTGAGAGACTTCAAGCAGAAAGAGAGCGTGGGGTAGAGCAGTTCATGTTCCTAAGAGGGGAAGAGAAATTTTAGAGAAAGCAAGCAAGCTGTGAGGCATAGAGATGATTTTTATTCATGAGTGGTTTTGATTCAGTTTATTCCAGTGTTAAATCACACATTGTTCCATAGACTTCAGGAATGTTCATATGTAACAACATAATGATGGGTGGGTAGGCGTAAACATGTTCAAATGCTGAATTAACTGGTGGTCTCTGTGGAAGACATAATGAGTGGGTTCCACATGAGTAAAATGTTGGCATTAATTTGTCATCTTTGAAAGTAAGCCAAAGTTTAAACTGGCACAGAAATTCAGTTGTGTGTGCTGCTTTTGAATTTGCATCTGGTGCATTGGAGGAAGCAGAGCATGTGAGGAGCATGCACTGCTGCAGCCTACGCTCTGTCTTCGCTATGGAAATGCAAAGAATTTAATTTTTAAGTTTTTATCAGTTCTTTATGCCAATGATTCCCATAATGTTTTAGGAGTACATTTTCTTATAATAATCATTCTGAAATACACTAGGAAGAATGTTACTACTTAAAAATATTTCTTTGCCTTCCTTTTTTTTGGCCTTTGTGGAGATTAATTCATGTTCACAATGGCCACATTAATACTAGATCCACCTATTTGTGTCTGAAACTATTCAATTTATACTTTGGGGGGACTTATTCTAGCACAGATCTTTTTTAAAAAGTGTAGGAAAAATGGCAAGCAAGAAGAATATAAGAATATGGTTATGTAAGTTGTTTGCACAGCAGTGATGGTTTGGCTTAATGCAGCCTTGATTGTATTAGCAGTGAGGTTAAGCAGTTCATACAACCAAGTTGGTCCCAGTGTAATTGATACACTTTGGGATGTTTTGTTATGAGAACAAGATTCTATTACACAACTGACCTTATTTGTATACTTGAGAACACGGGAGGCGATACTGTAAGGATGTGTCACTGCTTGTGTCTGTGTGCCATGAGCTACTGTAGCTCCATTCCAATTGGAGATGTAATTATTATCACAGAGACAGAACTAACTGTGTGTTACTGTGCTCCCACAGCAGGAGGCCTGATCTTTGCTCAGATTATCTCAGTGTAAAAATAACCAAGTGTGGGCCAAATTGTATACCAAAATGTTGATCGGTGTAAGTTTCCTGTTGGCTTTTTTTAAACAGTTAGAAAAAACAGATGGCAGTTCAATAGTGGAGGAAAAATGATGGGAGAAAAAGAGCCTGTGACTTTGCTTTCTATGCAGAGTCCCATTTCTTCAGTTCCCTTTCTTAAATGCACATAAGGGAGCTCTGAAGAGCACAGGAAATTAGAAGACAAAGGAAGATGGCGAAAGAGCAAATATTCTGATTTTTCTGTTCAGTCCGACTGACTTTAACCACTACACTGAACAAGACTAACTCACTGGTAAAGTGTCTGTAAAAATAGGGTGGGGGTCAGGGACAGGGTGGTCCAGCTTGTTCTGGAAGTGGTAGCAAGTGATGCATGATTAGGAGTCTGGTGGCTGACTGACAGCTCCAGATTTGTAAACGCTGATCACCACAATACTGTAATTTGAAGTAAAGCATTAGAAATTATTACTTTTGTCCCATGGGAACAGCTCAGACAAGAAACAAATGATCCTTTTGGATTGAAGTAGTGTGCTAGGAACAGACTGCAAGAAACATAAAATGCCCATCAGTGTTCATTTCATTTAAATAATAAGATTAATTTTTCATTTTGCCTGACTAATGCATTCTCATTTAAGAGTAAATAAAATTTTGGGCAAGACTTATCAGCCAATTCTGAGAATACACACTTGTGGAGAGATGTGAGTTCTTAGGAGATTCTGTAATTAGTATTTCTTCACCATCTAGCTTAATAAAATAATATTCTTAGATTATTTGATCAGTTCTATTTGTTTGGGTTTTTTTTCTGTTTGCTAGTTAAGCCAACAAAGAGAAACAGGAGAAAATGTGTTTATACAAACTTTCTTTTGTCAAAAAAATAAAATAAAATAATATTTTGGGAATATTTTGTTTCAATTTAAAGTTTTAGGTGTTCTTAACCATTAATTAAAATTTTATATTCTTCCAAAAGGAGGAGAAAAATGCTTTTTTTGCTGGTTCAAAACTACTGAAACAGAATGCTTCAGTTCCCTGTTTTGTCTTGGTTTTGTCAAATTCAGCCCAAGTTTAGGAGTCATTTTAAATCCTTTAAGTTACACTTTTGGTGAATAAAATTTAGTTCAAAGAACACTTCTGATTCTTACTCCTGAAGTATCTGGCTGTCAAAGTTAGGAAATTGAGAGGCAAATTAGGACCATAACTTCCAGGGCAGCTAAAAGACAACTGTTAGAAGGGCTAAAGAGGTCCAAAGAAAAATTGAGGCAGATATTAGTGGGAAAAAACTCTTAGATAATGTATAAGAAATCAGCCTTTGAATTGTTCTTAACAGATACAAAAAGAAATATGTTTATAAAACGACATCTATGGGACAGGTGAATAAGCAGGCTAAATTATTGCCTTTGATTTTCTCAGTTCCTGAGCGTAATTGAAATGTAGGATTGTATTATATGCTCATTATTTGATTTTTGCTATGTTTATCAGATCTCTTAAATTCCACGCAGGTAATAAATAGGTTAATTTAGGTTAAAAGGTTTGAATCATGTAATTTCTTTGTGGAAAAATCCATTTCATGAAGCAAGAAAGAAGGAAAAGCAGATCATATAGCACTTCTGAAAAACTCATTAAATGAGCAAAGTACAGTGATGAACTTTTACACTTGCAACTGCAAATATGAGGCTGGTTTACTTTTCACTATGCAATTTACCTCTGCTTGATGACTCAGTGCTTAAAAAAAATGAAGTATCTTTGGGATACACTTTACAAATATGATTGTTACTACTCTAAGCCAAGACATAAAAATGATGTGAGATTTACAACCAGTCATTCTGCAACAGTTGTTGTTGCAAACAACATATAGCATGTGGATCACACAGGAAGGATGCAGGATTCTTGAAGGAAGCAAACATATTTATGTGCTATTAATGAAACGAAACCTCTCATCTGCAGACCTTCGCCTCCTTTTGGCGTGCTTAGAGAAAGCTAGGCAGCATATGAACCAGGGCCGGCCTGGAGATTGTTTCATAGTCTGGGCAGGTGAATGCCTTCCAAGACATTAGATCCACCTCTGCCTTAAATTTCCTACCTGCGTCTGGACAAGTTGCTTTAAAAATAGTGAAGAGAACAGATGGCCTCTGTTCCGTGGTTTCTAAATTAAGACACCGAGTGCCTGCCTACATTATAGGTCTACCAAGTGCTAACAACTGTAACTGAAGTAATTTGGGAGCTGCCATTGCAATAAAGTAAGACACTCTGCGGAAAGGAGAATGGGATGCTGAGCTGGGTTGTCTGGAGCCTCAGTCTTGGTGTATTCCCAATTTAGCCTGTGCTGTTGGCCATGGTATTTCTTTTGGTTTCAACTTTCTCATCCATAAAATTGAGATATTACTTATTTGTCTTGCTTCTTAGCGGTGCTTTGAAGGATAGCCTCATTAATATTCCTAGGTTTTAATTGATAGGTACTGTCCCCTAAGAACAATTAAGTATTATGAAATATTAGGCTGTCTGTGTCTCAGTCAATGGGGCACACAAGTACAGAATTTTTGAGAATTCTCATTTTGATTTCATTTTCTTTTTTTCATGTGTGGGCATCCTCCCTCACAGGGTTTGTGATGTGTAACTAATACTTCCTCAGTACTTTAAATAAAATCAGTATTTATGAGCAGCATTCTTCTTGCGGACTGCTTGGTGTTCAAAATCAGACAAACGTTCAGGCACACAAACTTTTTCTCAGATCACAAACAGAGCGACAGTTTTCAAGCAACGCATATGCTGGAAATAGTTGTGCTGGGATGTATATATGCACACACATATATACACATATATACAAACATATATATACACACTACAACATATACATCTATATATTGTAACTTAAATATATTCCCAGCTATACAGGGTGTATAGTTGGCTGGGTTTTTCATTTTGTGTTGCAGTGAATTGGTGGTATTAAGTGGTAATCAAGAGTCTCATGCAAATGTTTGATCTGTTTTCTTGGAGGAGTTCTGCTTTTAGTTGAGTCTTACCAATTGATTGAGAAGGCACATGCCACGGGGGGAATGAGGACTGTGTATCACACTTGGAGATAGTCAGAATTAGTAAATGAGTCTTTTATTCACTTTTGGAGAAAAAGAGGTATGTTTGTAGCTATAAAATGAAAATTTCCATTTGCTGCTATGCGGCCTTACAGGATTTACAATTTACGTGCCTCCTGCCTCCGTATGCCTGTTTCTCTGTAGACTT